AAAAAACATGAACAAATATAAAGATTTTGTAGATAAAGAAGAATTACCATGTTTGATGCTAAGAAAGCCATTTGGGTTTGATTTCTTATCTTCAAAATTCAGTTATTTCAATGGGTTTAAGGAAATCAAACTCCAAAAAATTGCCATTTTGTATTTCTTTTATCAGAAAAGGAAAAATTAAAATAAAAATTACTTAAGAATACAAGTGGTATTCCAAATGCATTAACAACGTTAAATGTCTAACTGCAGCAAGGTCTCAAACATGAGAACTCATAGAGATACATGAAAATAACATACAATGGGAGCTAGACTCAAAGTCTCCAAGACACCAATCATTGAAGCGAATAAATGGTGAGGATCCTAATAACTAACCCCGGTAATACTAAAAATTAAAAAATATTAAAAACTTGTGATCCTAATAAAATTTTATGTGCCTGATAACTTGTGAGGATCCTCATTCCTCAACGAGTAATATTAAAAATTAAAAAATGTTTTGCTAATATGGAGCAAAAAAGACAATTAGACATTTAGATATTTTAATTTTCACAATTTAATTTTTTTTATTTTTTAAAATTAAAATAAAATCTATTGTCTAGCAATTTGGACTGCAAAATAAGCTTCTTAGATAAAGAGAGAGCCACCAATATCAACAGACTCACACCATAATCTGTTAATTAAATTATTAAAGAAAGATCTAATTAAACAGTGAAATAAAAATCTAATTAAACATCATTAGAATGGATTTTAATTGAGTAAAAAGAATAAATTATTAAATAACATGTAATTAACGTTATATAAAAAAAATTATTCAAAAAAATTGTTTCTAAATCATTTTACATTTTAAAATCAAAGTGGGATCACGAAGCCTCGTGGGCAGTATGATGTGGCAATTTAGCACTAACAGGTCATGGGCTAACTGAATATGAACGTTCTCCTGACACACGTGACGGGTTGCTATCCATTTTGAGCTAGCCAATTACTTATATAACGGGTAATTTAAAAGCTAATTCTCTTGTATTGTAGGTTGAGGGTAATGGTCTCAAAGAAAAGAAGTTCAAGGGCTCTTGGAGGTTTAAGTCGTTAGAATGTGCCAATTTTAGGCCCATTTTCTTTCTTTTGAGCTGATATGAAACTGATGAAAATAGGGATAGCATGTTGTGTCAGGAGGAGGCTAAAACAAAAGTATAAAGATTGCAAAGAGAAGAGGATCGTGACAAAGCACAAAGTTTCAAGTTCGGTCTGGTGCTATTAAAGGTATTTAGCTAATCATATAATAATGAGTCTGTTAAGGCAGGATTGTAATGGATATGCTTTACTTTGAGCTGCATTTTGTGCGGATTTCCTTTTGAGCATCGGAAGCATTGGAGTAGCGCCTATATTCTTTTAGTAAAATAATAGAAAACTGTTATATATAAATTCATTGTGAATGATTTATCTTCTTCACCTTCACCCTCTCACTTACTCAAGCATTTAAGAATACTCGAAGGCAGGCCAGAAAAGAAAACCGAAAAAATAGATAAATCAAGTTGCAGCAATGGAAGAAATGAGGCAAACCATTGAGAGAGGCACAGAAGCTAAAAAGTAAGGAACCAAAAATAAACCAATATATTCATTAATCTCAAACAGGAAATATGTGACACCCAATGTTATCTTTAAAAATGCTTGCGCAAAAGATCCAAAAGGCATACAAGACATGATCAAAAGCGATAATAACCAAACAAACACTATGAATTGTTTAATACTTAAGTCTGCAAGCTGTTATAAAAAAGTATAAAATTTATAAATGAAAAATCCTAAAAACAGAGATTTGCACTACAACAACCTCATCGAAAAATCAACAAAGCATCAAACATTATAATCTTCAACCAACAGAAGTTACAGAAACAACGTATATTTGTGGGCAATTTGATGCATATTACAGCAACACAGAAATTAAGATATTGAATCAACACAGAAGATAGCATATAATAAAGCCTTCTATAATCATGTCTAAAAAAAAAAAAATAATCATCAAGTGACTTGCTTTACTACAAAATCCAGAAACCCTATATAAACCCTTGCAATATACCTCCCGAGGTGGGGCTATTAAAATGACATAAAATCTTAATTCTTTTCCCTTTATAAAGAGTATTCTAAATAAATCAACTTATTATACTGAATGATGAATTTTCAATTATTTGAAATAAATTAATTAGATATTTCTAAGGAATGTTTGTATAAATAGTGAAATAGCTTTGAAAAAATTAAAAAAAAAATTAAAAAAAAAATAAAAGAAAAAACCCTTTCAATAACTGTATTTCCCATTTGGAGCGTCTCTCTCACGAACTCCCCTAGTGTCTCAGGTGAGATCATCTCCCCTAAAAAATGAATCAAAAACAATTGGACTTGGTAAACATGTCACATTGGATTATTTTGCATTTTGAATTTATTGAGTTAGGTCATTTTATATTTTGGATTAAAGGAATAGACCTATAACTCACTTATATGGGTATTAAATTAAGTTAAGTGGATCTTATTTTT